CACCCAGCCACCCCATCCCTCCCACCCCCCACCACTCCAGCAACCCTCAGTTTGTTTCCTGAGATTAAGGATTCCTCATATCAGTGAGGTCATATGATACATGTCTTTCTCTGATTGACTTATTTCACTCAGCATAACACCCTCCAGTTCCATCCACGTCGTTGCAAATGGCAAGATCTCATTCCTTTTGACGGCTGCATAATATTCCATTGTGTATATATACCACCTCTTCTTTATCCATTCATCTGTCGATGGACATCGTGGCTCTTTCCACAGGTTGGCTCTGGTGGACTCCTTGCATGTGTTTCCATTCTCACCACTCTAGAGGACCGATGGTAATAATACAGTAGGTGTACATTCACACTTTCATCCATGCTAATACACAACACACACACATAGGGAGCATCTTATTATTTTTTGCTCTTACAGAATAGATATCTTTCTATAGTTGTTACTCTGCAACTTGGTCTTTTCAGTCAGCTTTATCTCTTCCAGTCCATAGAGCTGAAACTCAAGTATTTTTAATAGTTTCGTAAATGAGCCAGACTGTTGGACATAATGTCATCAACTCAAATAGACACTTTTGATGGCTGTTTCCAGCTTTTTTGCCAAATAGTATGACAATGCCCTTGTACATATATATCTTTAAGTACTAGAGTTTTTAAGTCGAGAATGTCAGCAGTAGTAGTATGTATGCCTTTTCATGTTAATATATTTATATATTTCATTTTCAGAGAGTGAGGCAATATGGGAGAGCAAGGAATTATCTCTAAGGAAGAGTATAAAAGAGGAAACATTCCAACATGAAACAGTGATGAAAAGAGCAAGCAACATATGTAAAGAATATGCAAAAACTTCCTGCAGCAATAATGCACCTTTTCATCCATCAGAAAATTCTTGAGGAGTGCTGCCGGTGCCATGAGTGTGGGAAATCCTTTAGCCGTCGATCAACTCTTGTTCAACGTCAGAGAATCCACACAGGAGAGAGACCCTATAAATGTGATGAATGTTGTAAAACTTTCAATCAGAGGGCACATCTTAACCAGCACGAGAGAATTCACACAGGTGAGAGACCGTATGAATGTAAGGAATGTAGGAAAACCTTCAGCCAGATGACTCATCTCAGCATCACAGTACATATACTCGAGAAAAGTCCCATGAGTGCAGCAAATGTGGAAAGGCCTTTAACCGTTCCTCAGCTCTGATGGCTCACCGGAGAATTCATAGTAGGGAAAAACCCTACAAATATAAGGACTGTGGCAGGGCCTTCACTCAAAGTGCACAGCTCATTAGACATCAGGAAATTCACTCCAGAGAAAAACCCTACAAATGTAGTAAGTGTAAGAAGTCCTTCATACGTCTCTCTTCCCTGATTGAGCATCAGACAGTTCACACTGGAGAAAAACCGTATCAGTGTACAGACTGCAAAAAGACCTTTTGCCGAATCATGCAACTTACCCTACACAGGAGAATTCACCCTGGGGAGAAACCCTATGAATGTAAGGAATGTGGAAGAGCCTTTACCTGTACATCCCATTTCGTCATTCAGAGGAGGAGTCATAGAGGGGAAAGACCTTACGAACGTCACATGTGCGGGAAAACTAGTAACCACTCTTCACTTGTCACGCACGATAGGACACATAGTGGAGTGAAGCCCTCTGATTGCCCTGAATGTGGGCCGTCCTTTAGATGCAGATCACAGCTTACTCGACATCAGCGAATTCATATCAAGGAATATTAACGAAAGCTAACTGGACTTGGAAATGTGAATATTCTAGTTATTTAACAATCAGTCAAGATCTTGGTAACAAGTAGCATAAATGATGCTGATTCTCTTAAAAAGCAGTTTATTCAATGTCTCAAGTTCTCATTGTATGGATGGAATAGCAATGAACCCACTTCTGAAAATGGAGAGGAACAAAGGAAATCTGATTGAAGAGCAGAAAGTGAAACCACTACCCCATGGCCTGGGCAGCTCTGGCCTCCTGCTCCCCCACAAAGGCCGGCACCGTGCCATCAGGAAAGAGCAGTAGTTCTCTACAGATGCTTGTGTCCTGACTCCCAAAGAGTAGGCAGGGAGATCATTTCTTGGCTTTTGCTTCTATCCTAACAAGAAAGACACTGTATTACCTTCAGATGAAGTGGGGAGGTCCCCTCAAATGGGAGAACGTTAGACATCACCCAACATGAAAGAACAAGCAGCTACTGCTTGAGGCTTTGCATCCTAAAAATGGCTTCCAAATATGGTTCCAAATGTACGTTCGGATTACCTGACCATGGTGTCACCTGAATTTTCTCCCACACTTCCTACAATTGCTGAATTTTAAAGATCTTGTCACTGTTTTTATTGCCCACGAACAAGAAAAGAGAGAGGCGGAGACTGACACAGGAGCATCCCCAGGGCTAGCTGGAAGAGGTGTCACAGATAGATGTTAGGGATAAATATTCCTAAACTGAACACACGTGGGTTTTTTTTTTTTTCTTGAATTTCTCTTAACTGCATATATAAAAACATTTGTAAATTACATGTGCCAGTTTAGAGAAGAGTAAATACTCATGAACTCACCAACCAAGCTAACAAGAATATTGCCAGTACCTCAGAATCCACTGAGTGTCCTTGGAAAGCCATTTCTTGTTTATCCTCAGTACCTCAGGTAGCTAATTTACAAAGGTAGGTTACAGGGGGAGCCTGGGTGGCTCAGTTGGTTAAGCGACTGCCTTCGGCTCAGGTCATGGTCCTGGAGTCCCGGGATCGAGTCCCGCATCGGGCTCCCTGCTCAGCGGGGAGTCTGCTTCTCCCTCTGACCCTCCCCCCTCTCATGTGCTCGCGCTCTCTCATTCTGTCTCAAATAAATAAAAAATCTTTAAAAAAAAAAAAAAAACAAAGGTAGGTTACAGTTCTCTGTCTTTTCATTGTTGTTTTATTACATGTTGATGTAATCCTAAATGAAATTTCTGGTTTTGAACTTGAAAGGGGATCACACTCTGCATTCTTCTATGACTTGCATCTTTAACTGATTGTGCGATTTACATGGGCATCAGGTGAGGTTGCCCTTTTCCACAGCATAGCCACCCCCTGTACAAATGCACCAGCAGTTGTCCCCATCCCTCTGTTGCTGGACACCTGGGGCGGTGGTTTCTCAGTTTCTCCTGTTCCAAAAAAATCCACTGATAATCTTCTCCATATCTTCTGGGCCCATTCACAAGACTGTCTCCAGAGTGGAGTTTTAAAAGTGGACTTCTGGATTATGCACACATTCATTAAGAATTTTTCCAGGTCCTGGGGCGCCTGGGTGGCTCAGTCGGTTAAATGTCTGTTCGGCTCAGGTCATGATCCTGGGGTCCTGGGATCGAGCCCCACGTCCGGCTCCCTGCTCGGCGGAGAGCCTGCTTCTCCCTCTCCCTCTGCCTGCCACTCTGCCTGCTTGTGCTCTCTCTCTCTCTGTCGAATGAATAAATAAAATCTTTAAAAGAAAATTTTCCAGGTCCTTGTGCTACTATATGCTGTGTTCATAGCAATATTTCTGCAGTGGAAAGAGTACTCAGAGATGGGTACATTCCAAATCCATGTGGCCTCAGGTGACTATAAGTGAGACCTAGGTGAAACCCAACACATTTTTTGGTCTTGTGCTAGCTTTCCTCCTCAGATCTTTCTCAGACATTGCCTCAGGTGCCATGAAAATAGACAAGCGAGTTACTACATAACACCCTCAGCCTCATGATTTCAGTATCATGACACCCCCTTACTTTTTCTTAATGACAGGACTCTGAAATATACCAAGTCGGGGGGCACCTGGGTGGAGCAGTCGGTTGATCTGACTCTTGGTTTCAGCTCAGGTTTGATATCAGGGTCGTGAGGTGGAGTCCTGCATCAGGCTCTGAGTTCAGTGTGGAGTCTGCTTGGGTTTCTCTCTCCTCCCTCTGCCCCTCTCCATGCTCTCTCTCTCTCTCTCAAATAAAATCTTTTTTTATTTTTTTTTTAAGATTTTATTTATTTGACAGAGAGCGAGAGGGAACACAAGCAGGGGGAGTGGGAGAGGGAGAAGCAGGCTCCCCGCCGAGCAGGGAGCCCGACGTGGGACTTGATCCCAGAACCCTGGGACCATGACCCGAGCCGAAGGCAGACGCCCAATGACAGCCACCCAGGTGCCCCAAATAAAATCTTTTTTAAAAAACCAAAAATGCAAATATCGAGTGGTAGTCTAAATTTTGTACAAAGGACAGAGAATTAGATTTTACAGAGTTCAAATTGTACAGTTCTACAGGATAGTGTGCAAAGTGGTACAAGAAAATGAACACTTTAGAGTTAATTAACATCAAGAAGGGAATGAGATCAATATTGAATGGTTTTGTGATCCTGAAGGGTTCTCAGAGAAATGCTACATAGTGTTTTCAAAGACAAGTTGAGTAAATACATTCAAGTCAGAGGGGAAAGGCCTGCAAACTCACTGGGCTTGTGAAAGTCAAGACCTGAGTTTTACTCTCCCAGTAAAAATTAGGTGTTATGTTCAAACCTGTCAAGCAGTGGGCTCTGCTTCCCATCCTACATTATTTTTCTCTCTAACCCTTACTTTACTCATTAAACCATTTAATCTTTGTGTATCTCCCAGTGCCAGAATGTAATCTCCATGCGGACAAGAAAGGTGCTTTAGGTGTTGTAGGTCATTAATAGATATTTATCAAGTAGATGAATAAACGAATGGAAGGCCTTGATTCATTGACTTGATCTCCAGGTTTTATGCAGATCTGTTGAAAGAATCTCCTATTGCTGTAAGCCTTAGGACTGTAACTGCCGTCAACCAAATTCAGACAGTGGTCCCGTCTGCACTAATAATTCAGATTACTTATGCTTGGTAGCTTGTGTGATGTTTAGAGCATTCAGTGAAAAAGACTGAGGTCATTGTTACCGGAATAAGTACATCTGTCACGATTCAGAGGGCCTAGAGAACTTTAAGCCACGATGTGTATCTGGTCCTCATGGACGAGCCCCACCTCTCATAGTCCATCTTTGTTTGCCTGGCTAGTATCCAGAATATAGTTATATAGTTATAACACTGCCCAGACTTTGAATTGCGGAAGGATAATAGGGAAGATATGAGTGACACTCAAGACGCATTAAAAGCATTCACTAGGATTTCTCATCCTAAGCAAGCAAGGAAATGTTTGTGGACATAGATTTGGAGGTGCTCATCCAAAGACAGTAGATCAAACTTTTGGCTTATCAAAATATATTGTCATGGATTAAAACAGATCATTACAGTTTCTGGAGTGACTGGTGTAGACATACACTAGGTAATATATGGGATATTGAATGATATGACAAATCCATATCCATCTACTATCCTGACAGGAGTTGAAAGGGTTCAATGGATTACAGTGCTGGAGCGGACGATCCAGTAAGATTTCTGTGGGCCTTTGCATGAGCCAACACTAGTGGAATCTTTAAAAGCATCTTCGTGGAGAAAGGCACTGTTCTTGAGGGATCTCTGATCCCAGGAACTCCTTGGGGAGGGTAAGTTCACTACACGGGTTTGATGCATGTTGGCAATTGATTTCACCCATGTAACAAATATAATCCCATCACTCTCGTACCTCCACCTTCAGAGAAGACCACTTTGTTGTTTTTTTCTTCTACATGGAATCAAGCACCTTGAGTTTTTTGGTTCGTTTGTCTGGCTTCCCTCACTCAACATTTTGAGAGGCATTGATGTTGTGCCTTTCAGTGTTTATTCTTCGCTGAGTCGTATTCTGTCAATATAGTATAATTTGTTTATCCATCTCCTATTGGTAGACATTTGAATTGTTTCTGGATGTTTTAATTATAAAGTTCTTGTGAATATTTTATTTTTAAGATTTTATTTATTGATTTGAGAAAGAGGGAGCATGAGAAGGGGAAGGGGCAGAGGGAGAGGGAGAAGCCCACTCCCCGCTGAGCAAGGAGCCCGATGCGGAGCTGGATCCCAGGACCACAGAGATCATGACCTGAGCTGAAGGCAGATGCTTAACAGACTGAGCCACCCAGGCGCCCCTCTTGTGA